AAGTTCCACTTAAAAAAAAAGAGAAGTAACTAAGACATTTCCAAAACAGGCCTGTAAGCCTGTGTCTTACTTTCTTAGATGTCTTCAATCTCACTTTGATGAGTTGCCTTTCCTCTGACAGATAAATACAGGTATTCTTAATGAAGTGTCACTGTCCTCTGGGGACTTTCGTCCACGCCATCATTTCCAGTCTATCACTTCTAAGTGACTAATTCATGTACTTTCATTTTCCTTTTATGGGTAGTCTTTTTATTTTTCTCTTTTCATATATTTTCACCTATTCATACTTCCTGTTTCATGAAGTTCTTTTTTTTTTTGTCACTGAGTTCCTTCCTATGGTATGTCATTGAGCAATTAATTATTTGATGTTAAGCAATGGGGATTATTATGTCAGTTAGTTATTCCTGGCTATCTCTTATATCATCAATAATATCTTACATATTATCAATGTATGATTCAAATACCATACAATTCACCCTTTTAGGTGTTTTTTTTTTTTTAAATTAATTCACAGGATTGAGGAAACATCAGTTAGCATCTACTCATAATTTCCCTCTACTTCCTGTCTCAGGAAACCATTCTGGGCATGTCATGTAAATGGAATCCCTTTTTTTCTTTTTTTTTTAAATCGTTTTTAAAAATAAATTTCTATTTAAATTAAAAACAATCTTATTTTATATGCCAATCCCAGTTCCCTCTCCCTCCTCTCCTCCCATTTCCCCCTCCAACCCCCCATCCCACCCACCATCAACTCCTCAGAGAGGGTGAGGCCCCCCATGGGGGGGTCATCAAAGTCTGTCACATCATTTGGGGCAGGACCTGGGCCCTCCCCCATGAATCTAGGCTGAGAGAGTAGCTCTCCATAGGGAATGGGCTCTCAAAGCCCACTCGTGCACTAGGGATAAACACTGGTTCCACTGCCAGAGGCCCCATAGACTTCACAGGCCCCCAACTGACACCCATGTTCAGGGGTCCTGGTTTGGTCTTATGTTGGTTCCCTAGCTGTCAGACTGGGGTCCATGAGCTCCCACTTACTCAGGTCAGCTGTTACTGTGGGTTTCCCCAGCATGGTCTTGACCCCTTTGCTCATCACCCTTCCCTCTCTACAACTGGATTCCAGGAGATATGCTCAGTGCTTAGCTGTGGGTGTCTGCTTCTGCTTCCATCAGCTACTGGGGTGATGGCTCTGGGATGGCATTTAAGGTAGTCATCAATTTCCTTATAGGGGAAGGACATTTAAGGTGGCCTCTCCACTATTGCTTAGAATCTTAGTTGGGGTTATCTTTATGGATCCCTGGAGATTTCCTTGTACCAGATTTCTCCTTAAACCCACAATGTCTCTCTCTATTAAGGTATCTCTTTCCTTGCTCTCCTTCTCTGTTCTTCCCCAACTCGACCTTAATGATTCCTCATGTTCTCCTCTTGCTTCCCTTACTCCCTTTTTCTCCTTCCTCCCTTTCCCCTCCCACTGTGCTCCGAATTTACTCAGGAGATCTTGTCCCTTTCCCCCTTCCCTGGGGGCGGGGTCCATGTCTGTCTCTCTTAGGTTCCTCCTGTCTTCTCTGGGTTTATGGGCTGTAGGCTGGTTATCATTTGCTCTATGTCTAATATCCACTTATGAGTGAGTACATACCATATTTTTCTTCACTCAGGATGGCAACCCCACATCTCACAGAGGGCTGATCTCCAAAATATACAAAGAACTCAAGAAGCTAGTCACCAAAACACCAAATAATCCAGTTAAAAACTGGGGTACAGATCTAAATAGAGAATTCTCATAGAGGAATCTTAAATGGCCGAAAGGCACTTAAGAAATTCAGGGTCTGTGAGTGTTTTCCCTTATGTGGGTTGTATTTACACTTTAAAATTGGGTCCTTTAAGTCATGAGATTTTTAGTGTCTAGAGAGGTGGCTCAGCTGTTAAGAGTGCTTAACTCTTCCTGCAGAGGACCTGAGTTTGAAGGTTCCTAGGACCACATGGCATCTCAAAAGCCACCTGTATCTGCAGTTCCAGGGCATCTGACACCCCTTCTTCTGGCTTCTGCAGACATGTGGTACAAATAAACTCACAAAGGCTCACACAAATGTAATAGTTTTTAAAAAATATTTAAAAATCATCAAAGTTTACAATTTTGACGGCACTCAAATTTTGTTGGTTGTTTATTATATTGGTATCATATTTAAGTAACTACTGTCTAATTCAAGTTCACAAATTTTAAGTCTGTATTTTTTTATGAGTGCTCTTACATTTATGCTTCTGATCCATTTTGAGTTAGTTTTTTTCATACCGTGTAAGGTAAACTTTCAGTTTATTTATTTATATTATTTTTGTGTATAGCTATCATGCATCCCATGTGCATTTGTTGAAATAATTATTCCTTTCTCATTGAGTTTTCTTGGAGTCCAACACAGACTCATTATTTTTCATTATTTTTGAATACATTTTTATTATGTTCAATCAGGCACTAATATGTTGAAGTTAAGGCCTTTGTCTTATTTTTAGTTATACCTTTCTTAACAGTATGCTTTATGATATGTTATGTTTGGATCTCAGATACCCTCTAAACATCTACTGCTAAAGCTTGACATGCCTTTGAAAGGCTACTGGGATCCCAAGCCTTTTTAGCTCTCTCTTTTTGCTTCCCAGTTATCACAAGGTAAACAGTTTTGTGCCACCACATGTCTCCTTCCTTGATATTCTTTGGCCTCACTGCTGGTCCCCATACAATAGAGCCAATCAACCTCTCTACTGGTAGGTGTCTAGTCAGTGGGTGTAACAGGCTTTTTTGTTGTTCATTTTTTTTACATCCCAATCAAAGTCATCTCCCCTCCCCCACTGCCCCATCCACTCCTCCTCCACTGTTTCAGATACAGGTGGTCCTGTCATAGATATCGGCCAGGTATGGTATATCAAGCAACTGACCTTTTGTTTTTTTAAGACTATGTTCTTTATGGTTACAAAATTGTTTTTACAAAAATAAAAGTTGAGAGGAAAATATAACTTAAAGTTAGAGAAATTTCTGCTTTGATAAACATGTCCATCATTGGGGAATGTATCAGATTCTACATTGACAGAAGATTTTTGAGAGGGATTAGCAAGAATTTTCGTTCTTTTAAAATGGACATTAAAGTTATGCCATAAAGAGAAATGAAAATTTGGTAAAAACTAATTGTCTGAGAACCTAACCATCAATAAAGTAAAATCCTTAAGGAAATGATAGGGGAAAATTGAGAAATTAAACATGGCATTTAAAGATTTTTCAGCTTGTTACTCATCCTCTCACCTTACTCCAGCCACTTCCATGATAGGATTTAATTAAGGCAGGGGCACTTTCCATGTGTTGGATGTGGAGAACCATGCTGTGGCTTTCAAGAGTGAGATGAAATGACCTACTGGATGAATAGTTTCCTTGGAAGCATGTGTGGGTATGTAGGAATAGCCCAATATGCCTGATGTGTCTCTATTCAAGCAGATTGGTGTTACAAAATATGAACTGAGGCTGCAGGAGCATCCTGCTGTTTGATGCTATGAAGAATAAGGCAACACCCAAGGTAGAGTTAGATATTGCAGTCATGAACACACAGTTTTATTCATTTAGAGTTTGTTTTGAAGACTTCATGAGGGGAAATTTCTACTTCCATTTTCTTTATAATTATAGGAATTACTTCCCACCAGTAACCTCTAATAAAATTGAAATATTCCAAGGAGTGTAACTTAAGTTGTCCATCATGCCTCGAAGCCGGCTGATCATGGTATCTGACTGATTGGTTATGGTGAGACCTTCTTAGGCTAACAGTGTTTCAGGGTCAGATGCTAGCCTCCCCCTGCACATGAACAGGGCTAGAAAATTAGGGATTCCTGAGCTTTGGCATCTTAACTATATTTTTTCTAAGCTTGATCTTTCGGAAATCATTTATAGTGCTTACTATCTGCATCTTATAACTTACCAACCAACTGCACATTAATGTCTTGATTAGCTTTGTAAGTTTCCAGGTGTTTTTATTCACATGGTGGTGTCAAATCCAATTCTGACTCTTCTGTGACTCAACACATTGCTCCTAATCCGAGGATGCTCTTGATCCAGCTTATGCAGACATTGCGTATAGATAATTAAATTTGGTCATTTCAAACATCACCAGGATTTGAAGAACTGAGTAAGTCCCCACAACTATTATGTGTGGTCATTACAGGATACTTTGGCTTGTTTCCTACTTCCAATTTAATATTGCAAAATAGTGATAGGGATCCTTTCATGGTCATGGATGAGCAAACGAAACTATTTCATACACTACTCTGCCCCTTGGAAAGAATCATGTAAGCACAAGTGTTGCTTATGATTTGAGATTTGGGTACCCATTATGTCCCACCATTCTTTCTTTTCTTGACTAAAGAATACAATACAAGGAGGTAAACAAAGGAGTTGGACCAAGTTAAGACACAGAGACTTGCTTATGTGTAAGGTATGTTGTTTGTACAGAGACAGGGTTAGTTTTTGCCTTTCACGGCTTTCCAAATGGGATACAGAAGCTTGAAGAACATGCCACAGTGTCTGCTCCCCTGAAAACATAGGTGTCTTGTTCTCTTTCATTTCCTTTCTACTTTCCTTAAAACAATAGTGCAAAAAGGACTCCCCTAAAAATGTAAATAAGGAAGGAGTCAGAGAGTTCAGAGTTGGATGGAACAGTCACGTGTCTTTCCCTGCAGCTGCAGTTGCTGATGGAAGACTCAGGGGAAAAGCACTACTTCTACTAAAATGCCTGTCCAAGAAAAAGGTGAATGAGAATTGGGTTCTGCAGCATTTCTGCAGATGTAAGACTCCCAAGCAGGGGACAACACAGTTTGCTACAATTGCTACATCTAAATGTGAAGGAAAGCTAGATATGGCTTCTCTATGCAAAGATAAACTGTGGAAACATGGAAAATACATGTGGAAGACCAAGAAATGGGGGTAACTATGTGTCTTGGAAGCTCTCTAAACAATAATGCTTATAAAAGAGAGTTTAAGGGGCGATCTCATTTTCCACTGGCAAGGATTCCTGTTCCTGGGGAGGTTCAGGAAAATTTATTTCTGTTTCTTCTTCTTCTTCTTGCACTGGAATAATTTCAATTTCTTCTTCGTTTTTTGGTTGGGAAGATACTCCACTTAGCTCAATGATTTCTTCTTTCATTTTAATTGTCTGTTCTTTTTTTTCTCCAGCTGACAGCAGAACTACATTCTAGAACAAAAACAAATGCCTCTTGACCTTTACCCTTGACACGTCTCCCAACAATCAACATGTATCCAAATGCCAACTTATTCTCATGTTCTTTATTTAGTTAACCATATACTATAGATAGCAGGATTGGCTACTTAGATGCACAAATTCTCATCAAATCACCTCCTTATTAAATCTCGAGTCTGGGGTAATCATTAAGGATTTCAGGCCTTTGCCATTTTGCCTAGAATAATCATACCACATGGAAAAATAATACCAAAAAGAGAGGAGTTTGGATTCTAGAACTGATTTGCCTTTGGTGATCATAACCTTGGGAAGAGGCCCTCATTCTACCCTCTCCCAATCTGTATAATGAAGTAATCATAATGGCTTCTAATCCATAAACTAAATCTTATAGTCTGGAGTTCCACAGTAGTTTATAAGGGAGCTACTATTAGAGCATTCATGTTTTCTAGCTTTGGAGATGCTTTGAAATACTAATGTCTTGGAAGTGGAATGAGGTGAAGAGCATGGGAGGAGAGTGGAAAAATGAAAAATCCAAGAACCAATGACTTTATCAGCCTCCTGTCTTCAGTCATCCTATGTTACAGATTAAGATGGGGGTGGCATGTGATCAAGGGATGAGTAAGAATGGCCCCCATAGGCTCAAAACTTTGAATACTTGTCAAAATATGGCCTTGTTGGAGGAGATGTGTCACTGGGGTTGCGCTCTGAGGTTTCAAAGGCTGGTGCCATTCCAGTTAGCTCTCTTTGACTCCTGCTTGTGGATCAGATATAAGCTCTCAGCTACTGCCCCAGAGCCATGCCTGCCTCCTGCTACCATGCTCCTCCCCATAATAGTCATGAACTCTAACTAATCTTCAGGACTGTCAGCCCCAAATAAAGGCTTTCTTTTATAAGTTGCCTTGGCCATGCTGTCTTATCACTGCCATGAAACAATAACTAAGACGGGGCAGGACCGGGAGTCTGGAGTCAACCAGAAGGAAAAGCTGGTTGGCAGGCAAACTTGTGCAACATGTGGAACTGTAGCTTCTGTCTAACCATAGACTTACTTATACTTCAAAACGTTTGCTGCCACTACTGTTGTTTTCTGTTTTCCAAAAAATACAGCAAAGCCATTTATTCCAAATGAAGCTCCTAGTTTCAGAATTTTTGTCAGATTAGATTCTATGTAAACAATTCTTTGTAGATACTAAGTTTTAAGAAGGACGTTATGGACAAGGAACTGCAACTTACAGATTTGGGTCTGGAGCACATTCTTCTCCAGTCATTTTCCACAACTCCAGCTGTCACAAGTTTCTGGAAGAAGGCAGAGATCAGCATCACTGACAAAATGCCCTGGAAACAGAATGGAGGTAAAGATGAGGTAACGGCAGCTGGATGGACTTAGTGCACAATGATGACTATGACTGGAACTCAGTGAGCAACAGTTCAGCTCAGTTCTTCAGGTGAGTGAAATGAAGAGCTGGGGGGAATGGCTGCTATAAAAGATAGCATCTTTACAACCCAACGGCTGAACACAAGGAAGTAAGGTGGGAATAGGAAACTGAAGAATCAATTTTTGTAAGAAAGAGTTCCACATTAAATTCTGTCAGCTTGGTCTGGTACAGTAGCTCAATGGTAGGGTACTCGCCCAGCATACTTGAGGTCCTGGGTTCTAGTCCCACTATGTAAACTAGGTATGGTAGCATGTGCCTGTAATCCCAGCACTAGGGGAGTTAGAGGCAAGAAGACCAGAAGTCCAGAGTTGTTCTTGACTACACAGCAAAGTGAAGGCCAGCCTGGATTACAGGAGACCCTGTCTCAGAAGAAATTGTATCAGCTTTAGAATATGTGACATCACACCAAGGAAACTCCACAATACTTGGGAGATGTATTGCCTTTCCCTTTTAAACTCTGCATTCAAAAATTCTGTGGGAGAAAACATATTAATAACAGTTTATGAATTTCTTCCATATTTTTATCGAAAATTATTAATGTCATCCATGATATTAACAAAGGTGAACGATGACCACATAAAGCTTGGTGTGGTGGCACATGCCGTTAGTCCCAGCATTCAGGAGGTAGAAGCAGAATTGTTGTGAGTTTGAAGCTAGTCTGGGCTAAATAGTCAGCAGCCAGGGCTACACACTAAGCCCATTCCTCAGAAGAAATAATCAAGTCACAAGTATACTCTTGGGTACAAATGATTCCAAGTGCCTTGCTTATGTAAACTAATTTGTTTCTACATCAATCCAAGGAGACACATAGTCTTACTCCCCCTGTTTTACAGCTGGGGAAAGGAAAGTAGTATATGAGGAGGGTTCTTGCCCAAAGCCAAGTGCAGGAAAAGTGCAGACACAGACTACCTGGACCCAGCATGGATGCTCATAATAAAACACAGCACGTTTCTTCTCCGGAGGAACACCGCTTTCATACTTACCAAGAACACAGATTGCATGCTGTAACAGTACTGTGTAGATGGGGAGTTTTTCTCTGAGGAATTAGATGGTTCACAGTTGTAGATATCAACATACAGGTTGGGGGTTTTACTAAGAATCAGACGCTCCATTTTTAGGAAATGAGAAACTGTAATGTTCAGTATGTCCATGATTGAAAGAATTATTCCAGAAATGGCAGCAAAGAGGCTCAGAGAGTTCATTATCACTTTGGCTTTGACCTGAAACAGAGGCAGCCTTTGTTAGTTAGATTTGATTTCTCTTCAGAAAACAACGTAGGATGCGAGATTCCAGCTGCTGTCTCCCCGGCTCAGAGAGACTCCACACCTATATTCTAGTTTTGTTCTCACTGTGGTTTTTAGCCTCTTTGTCACCGTAAAGCAAAACTTTTAGTTTTCTTCTCCCTCCTTTTCCAGTCTTCTCATCTTGTGCAATCACCATCCAGTCAATTTATAAAACAAAATCCCAGTGATGCCTTGCCCACAGGTTGTACCTACACTCTTTTTTATTATCACCACCCTCCCAGCATGCTTTAGAGATTTAGTGAGCATCCAGATTACTATCTCTTTGCATAAAAAGGCAGTGGGCAGAGGGATAAGAAGGATTTTATAATGTGTCTAAAGATCTTTGGTGTAGATATAGATAGAAACTTCTAGGTTTGTACTAGCCAATGAAAATGAATCAGCCATAATAACTCTACCTCTCCCTACTGACAATGTACCCCCACTCAACTGTCTTCCCCCAGGTCCATGAGCTCAGATGTCTCTTGATACATGGGCCAGAGGATATGGTTGTGACCGTTCTGTCCTTACACTGGTGATAAAAGTTTGATGTATCATATGCCAAGTACCACGATGCTGTGGTATTATTGATTATTTTATGAAGCACATCTTTCACTCCTGGCTACGTAGCCTATTAATGGCAATTCAGTAGTTTTGGTTGTATTTGCTATTTGTAAACAATTTGTTTCTTCCCCTAAATTGAATTTCCCAGACTACTTACAAAGTGTCTCAGTCCACTCAGATACTTACCAACTCACAATGACTTAAGTCAGCATTGGTAGAGGACTTACTGGAGAAAAATTTGGTAGTGAGATCTGGTCACCCATCCAGATTCAGGAATTGTGTATGCCACCTTTTTTTTTTTTTTTAAGGAGGTTGTAAATGAATCCTTAAGGATAAGATCACACTGTAGGCCTTACAGATCCCACTATCCTATCACACATAATGCCCCATTTCACTTTTATCTTGATTTCCTATGCCAGGATTAGCACTTTGGTTCATGGGGTGAAAACTCAGGAGCACCCTGTATTCACTCACTCACTCACTCACTCACTCACTCACTCACTCACTCACTCACTCAGGGTTCTGACTTAGGTAGAATCTGACTCAAGCATATGGATCGGACAAACTTCCTAAATAGTGTGAGGGAAAAATGGCATTATTTCAGAATATGTCAGGTCTGTTATCTCTACAGGGAACTTAACACTGAGAGACTGTACTTGCCCTCTTCTGAGCTCTGCCTTTGATTCTCTTGCTTTGCACAGACTTAAGGCAGATGCCTTTTTTTTTTTTTAGTTTCTCATGAAGAAAATTTTCTCATAACCAGGATTGATACAGGATCCTTTGCTCACAGAGAATCGATTATTGATAAGCTCTTTAAAGGTCCCCAGGACTTGATTTCAACTGAGAAAGTAGTTACTGTGTTTGATGTGTAGGAAAAGACATAGATTACTTGCCAAACTTTTTCTGGAGGTTTGCTCTGCTGCTGCTGCCAGGAGTGATCCTGAAATAATATACTGCAAAGAGAGGAGTGGTTGGGAAGGGGGAGGGAGAGGAGGAAAAAGGGCAGAACGGGGAGGCAGAAAAGGGTCACTTTTTCACCGATGATTGGTTGTGAAGGAACCACCTACAGTTTTAATGTCTTTCACTAATCTATGCATCAAATTTTATCCCATTAAACGATTTCTTGGTGGCTATATTTCTTTGTTATTCAGGTTCACATACTCAGTCTGTACTGTTCAACCTCTAGGGACCATTAGCTAGGAATTGAATAAGAAGAGAAACAGAACTGACCCTTCCTCGCCAGTGAGAACCCTCTGGGCCCGGACCATTAAATAGAAAGGAAATAAATAAAACATGATTTATTCCTGTTTTACACAGGCAGCAATTAGAAGTAGTCACTAGTTTTAAAAACACAATTAGGGCTTCTGTCTGGGAGGCATAGGTAGGAGAGAGTGTCAGCGTGAATTAAAACAACACTTATTCTTTCTCCTTTTTAAAATAAAAAAATGAACTATTTATTTTATGCATGTGGGTGCTGGGAATTGGACTTGAGTCCACTGGAAGAGTAGCCAGTGGCTTTAGCCACTGAGCCATCTCTCCAGCTTCTCTTTCTAATTGTAATCAGTGAAAATGTTCTTTTGGGGTCATAGTGACTGAATAGCTTCCATGTCTCTAAAAGACAGCATATAAGGCAGTACTTGTTTTGAACATATACACCTCACCAAAATATTGGTTGCTACATGAAGTAATAGTGATTATTTCTCAACTTCCTTTCCTAAGGTTCAAACTTTAAAGTGTAGAAAAATCTTACAACCAATATACCTCAGTTCTGAAAGCTCAGATTCTGGACTCACCCTTAGAAGACTCAGTCATGAAAAGTGTCCTGGCAAAATAAACACTACCTAACCTCATGGCACACGCAGAACTATAAGTCTGGGAAACATGAACATTAAGTAGCCAAAGCGGTGCTGCTGCATTCAAAAGTACAGAGGGATTATTTGGGATGGGAATAATTTCATCAGGTGCCATGGTAACCAACAAAATTACAGGGACTTAGAATGTTCCCATTTCTCACTTCCTTCCCAAACACCAAATATCTGGTGTCTCCCACCCTGCTGGAGTTAACTGTAGAGACACCCTGCTTTGTACAGTCTTCCTGCCTTGAGAATAGCCAGCAGAATTCCTTTCTACGAATCCACATGAAGCATGGCCATGTTCAACCAGGAGCTACATGGTGTAGTCTATCCTTCTTTCCACTTAGCTATGTCAACCCAGTAACCTTCCTGCCCATCTGACTTTCATCAACACAGAAACAATCTAGAACGTTTCTGACCTTTATTCCCCCCCTTCACATCTCACAAATGGTTGCTGTTCTAACTTACCATAATGCCTCCCCAGAGAGGGTACCATACACTCATACAGATGGGTGCAAAGACCCCTGTGGGGATCATCAGCAGTCCTCCCAGGGAAATATGGAAGAGGCCATTCATGATCTGGACAGCCTTGGGAGAGAAGAAAAACACTGGTGGTGAACTGAACCCATAGCTAGTGGAGGTCAAAGGCAAGGTGGGAGGCCTGAGACCCGATTAGAGACCATGCAAAGATACTAAATGGATTGGTAGCACTGCCAAGAATTTTGCATCCTCCTGCTGGTCTCTCTCTCCCATCACACAAGGCATTTCCAAGGAACAGATGTGTCTGGAATTTGAACAATGGACCAGAATGGAAGATCCTTCACCTCCAAGCCAAGGCATGATATAAGGTCACCCTACAGTGATCTAGGAGTATCTCTCTTATACCCTCTGGCCTAGCCCACTGTGTGAGACATAAAGAACACATACACTTAGATCTGCCTGTGCAAGGTAGACTGAATTCCATATATAGCCAGAATATTAGCATCTGTAGGCCAGCACATCTTCAGGGTGTGGAATGGAGGAGGACAGCCTTACCCCCAAAGCCTTCGATTCCCTCATGAAGAAGCTTTGTGTTGGCCCCACCAGCGAAGATGGCCTCCTGAGGTTTCTTTTTTGAGAAGCTTGCATGGCAAGAGGGCCTCTGGTAGACTCTATTGGGAAAGTTCCACTCACTGAGTTTCTGGGTGTAGTCATTCTGTTCTCAAACTCCTGAATAGAAAACAGTAAGGTGAGATCAATGACAAAGTCTTCGGCAATCTTACCTTCTGTCACCATCTAGTACTTCCTGTGATGGTGCCACTGAGGCATGCCATCTTCCTGGTAGCTTTAGCTGTGAGGCAAGGTCTACCACTATGTTCTAGGACAGTATATGGAGGAGCTCCCTCAGGCAAGGAGACATGGACCTAGGAATCTGAGCTAGAGTGCCAGCTAATCATGTCTGGACACACATTAATGTTCAAGAAAACACTATGCAGTCAGTTACCAATGAGCTATACCCCCAGAACACACTACCAATTTATTGTCCACATGGATTTTTGTCTACACAGGGGCTTGGACTCAAGACCTTGAGTTTCATCTTGATCTATGCATTTGTCTATCTGGTCCCTCCTTGGGTGCTCTTATGTTTTAATAGTGCAAAACATATTTTTATTGGTTTGTTCATCTATTTGTCTCTGAACATTATGGTGGCCCAGAAGTGTCATACCTGATTATGGTAGGGACTGTCTTAAAATCAGGAGGGGACAATTCTAGGCCCTCTCTTTGCCCCTGACCCTGACCCTGACTTTGAGCAGGTCACATCAAGAATGCTATATGTTATCACAGGTAAGACCACAGCCTCTGAGTCAGACTGCTTTTAAACAGTAATTCTAATTACTGAGCTGTTGGACAAGTTCTCTGGGCCTTCGGCTCTTCAACTTTAGACCATAAGTAGAAATGATTCTTGTCTCACAACTTGTTGTAAGAGATAGATGGTGATGGACCATGCTTGTGTGGCTTTTGTTCACCCAGGTATACTTAAACATCAGCTATCCCCAGAGGCCTTCTTTGAACCCTCAACCTACCACACATGCTCTTACATGTTCTCTCTGCCCCAACAGAACCTGTTCTATTCACCTCATTTCAACTACTACTCTGGTAAGTTGTAGGGGACAGTAAGCCACGCCTGTTAGAGGCTGACTACAGGTGTGCTTGGCGATGAGGATGGGATAGGCATGGCCAGGCACACCTGTAGCCAGCCTCTAATAAGCGTGGCTTACTGTCCCCTACAGTAAGTTACTTGTTTATTGCAGTCCTCTCTCTACAAAGGATGTTGTTGCCTCTTGACCAGTATCTGAAATTATGCTTACATGGTATATCTTCTTCATAAGCATGGAAGGAATGCTAGATTTATGCAAAACACTCTCATCTGGATCAATATTAGCTGCTTTGTTACAATTCTTGTTATATACTTCTGAGCTGCAGTTTCTACTTTATCTATCTGTAAAGTGAGAACAGTGCCCTTCTCATAGAATTATCATAATAAATGAGTGGACACATGTACCTAGGGAAAGAAGGTAGCAGGTGTCATCTGTTCATGCTCACAGGTTGTTTCTAAAGTGATGAGACAATGAGCCACATTTCCAGCTCTGACAGGTTAAGACTATTTAGCTTTCTTCATGCTCCATTTGTTGGGAGTATTCATCTATTGGTTATGTTAACTCCATATATGAATTCCCTTGAGATTTTCCTGTGCTCGGAGTATTCTTCTGTAGGGCCATACCTCTAGACTCATCTTTGTTAACTGTAAGCTATGTAAGAGGCCTTGGGAATTAAGACTGTGTGCCCGGGCTGCTGAGTCTTACACTAAAGTTGTGAAGAGCTGGGAAGCTGAATCTCTTACATGTCTGCTGATTTTATAATTACAAAGGTATTCAATCTGGGGCATTGCTGCTGAGCCCAGTAGAGGAGACAAGGGATGAATCATCACCCCTGTTTTACAGAGGAGGGGATGAGGATAGACAAGTTAGATAACTCACTGAAGTTATGTAATTACTAATGATCTGGAATGAATCCTCCAACTTGTCAACTGCAGTGGCTGTGACTCACTGTGGGGAACAGTTTGGTTTCTCTTCCCTTTCTTTCAAAATATTCACACTCTACATGAACTGTCTGCAGCATGGGCTTTAGGGAAAAGTTTCTCAATTGATTTCCCTCCTGTTCTAAGTTACCAGATGTCACCTGATCCAGGGGAATCTGCTTCATGCCACAAACCATCCCAAGAGGCCATCAACCAAAATACAAATTATTTATGTAGCCTACTAAGAAATTTTCAATTGAGTTCTGGTCTAGATCTAGAAAAATCTCAGAACCCAGTTTGTTCATGTCACAAATAAGGATCCTGCCCCTGGATATGGGGCATGCTTTTGAAAAGACCTTATACTTAGTAAGGGAGCCAAACTTGAAGGCACTGACACTGATGCTCATTCTGTAGACCCCCCCATGCTATATTGTATGACTGTGGTTATTTAAATGAGCATGTACTGTGTCCCCAGGGATACTAGTTGTGCTATTTCCAGTTTTTCCTCTTACCTCTCTCTTTCAGTAGCCATTGTATTTCCTTTTAGTGGATGCATATAGGTCCCATAAGTTAATTTTCCCAAGACCTTTTGGCAACTATGAAATAAGCTAGAATTCACTTAACTCAATTCTAGGAAACTAATTTTAGTGATGGTGACTTAAAGTGCAAGATCATTAATTATTTAGGGTGATAGAAATGATTGGACTACCATCACTGCAATCCCTTGGTAGTTACCAGAGGCTCATTAAGTCTTGGGTCTGTGTTGTTGCTAACATAAACCTTTTATTTAGGCAAAGTCTTGTGGGACTGTCTGTGTGGGCTATTGGCAGTGATAATATGGAGAGAAGAACATTTTGTCTTTCTGTCAGAATAGTATCTTTCTAATAGCTATATTTCTACAAAATGTTGAATAAATATTACTACAAATTAACATTTTATAAACAAAATATGGCTTTGACATGCCGTTTTCTGCAAGTGATCTCCCACCCATCTCTCCCTTTCTCATACACATGGAGGCACTACAGATTGTGCAATAAAATTACATTTGATGGAAACACATGAAACTGGAGCTGATCCACATACTCCCAAAAATGTAGATTTCTCCAGCTGTGCTTTATTAAAAATTATACAAAATGGCTTCAATGGAGTCTAGCTCACAGCAATGATTACCTGGTAGACTAGTAGGGTTACAGACCACATTGGTCAAAACGTGACAATATAGGGCTTTATTTTCACAAATATGAAAAATTCTGGTACTGAAATCACGACTTAATTTGTCCACGCACCATCCCACTTTATCACCCACTGCAGCTTCCACAAACCTTTTTGACTTCTAGAGGGATCACCATTTCCTTGTCCGTTCTCCTGAAGATGTCACAGCGTCTTCTATGGTCTTGGTTTGAATACTGACTTCTATGTCTAATAACGCCATCATCTCTACTGGGATACTTGAAGCCCCCCAACCTGAACTTCCTCCTTTGCCACTCAAAATAGCTTTGCATTTATCCTCCCCCCTCCCCGTGCTTATCGCTATAGGTGAATCTTCTTACATTTTTCCTTTTCAACCCTTTCAGTCCTTTTCCTTCCACCAGACACTTGCTCTTTCCAGAAATCACTTCTTCCTGGGACCTACTCTCCCTATTTGTGTGGCAATATGCACATTTGTGACCTGTGTAAAATTGGGATATAAGAAGATGTGCTGTGATTGATAAGGTAATAAACACTCAAGGATTAATTATAATTCCTGGCCCTTATTCAAACAAGAATGTGCTACCTTGTTCCCCAGTCCCTAACCTTCCATGTAAAAATGCCACATGGTTGCCAACTACTATACCATTTCCCCTTACTTGACTTCAGCTTCTTCAAACTTTGCCTTCTACCCTTTTCCCCAACTTCCTCCTCACACGCCTCTTTAACCAGTTTCTGCCACTCCACCGAAATTTCTCTGTACAAAGGTTGTGCTGCACTCTGTAGCCTTTTCTGGGCACGGTGCCTTGGGTGGCTCTTTTTGTGCCAATTGCTCAGACTTAGAAGGTTTGAACCAGGGAGTTTGTGAGATGGCTCAGGTCACGCGTGTCACAAGTATGAAGACCTGAGTACAGATTAAGTCCAGCTGTAGTAGCATGCACTTGTAATCTCAGTGCTGGGAAGTGTAGACAAGCAGATCCCCGGAGCTTGCTGGCCAGTCAGTCCAGCCAGATTTTAAGTTTCAGATTGGGTGAAGGACTTGTACATGTGTGTGCACAGACACACTCAGGCTTGGAGGCAGATTTTACCCTTGGTCCTTCAGCTCCTTCACATGTCCAGGCAATACCAAAGCCACACCATGTCTGCAACTGCCATACCTCTGACACACGGACCTTTCTCTACATCTAGTATCACCTGCAGATTTATTCTGATTTCCTTTCCTGCTGTAGCACAAGAAAAAAAACCATCTTAGGGATCAGGCCAGTTATCTGGCTTATTGTCAGGGCTGATAACCTAGCTCCATCCCCAGGGTTCATATGGTAGGAGGAGAGAACTAACTCCTGTGGTTGTCCTCTGACTGCCACACACATG